TATATATTTTAAAAATATGATTCCAACGCTACATCATAAGAGTTCTCATGTTTCAAATCAAGTGCCGAAAACTTCAATATAATTATTTGAATTAAATTGAATTAAAGTACTAAGCTCTGTTCCATCTTCAAGCGAAATTTTTGGGGAAATTTTTTTATTTTTAAACAAATAATTATATTTATGCTCTACTTTTGTATCGAGCACTATTTTTTAAAAATAATAAAAAATTACTAAAGAACTTTGGATTATTTACCTAACGAGTTCTTTCCTATTTTCTATATTTTTACACACACACACAAATATATATATATATATATATATATATATATATATATATATATATATATATATATATATAAAGGGCATTTCCTTAAGACGGATTATATATGTGTTTCATTAAGACGGATCAAAGTCAGCAGTAAATAAATCAGTGTTATTATTGAAAATTTATTTATTTCTCTATTGGAAAATGTTATTTAAGTCATGGCATTTAAGTGAAAATAATATCGACCAGATTGTCCGCCAAATCTGAAAGAAAAAGAAAAAAATCATTAGACGCTTAAACTTAATTCACACTTAAAATCGGTCCAAGTATGATCAGTTCAAGATCAAATTGGCAACTGATCTAAAAAAAATGATCACATTCTGTTGATAACTGGGGTAAGGATTAGCTAGTTAATTTTAACACTTCCAAAACAAACTGCTTTCTATTAATCGCCTGAGAGAACCCTTTCTGCTTTCCATCAGCATGGCTAAATCCAAACTCAAGGAGAAAGACTCGTTGTGCCTTCTTGGGCAAACCTTTCCCGCTGACATGAAGTAGTATAATTTATATTGAATCAATTGATAAGTCTGGTTGGTTCTCTGCGTTGTGCTTGACAATTTTTGTCGCCCGAATCAATCTTACATATTTTTTAAGCTAATCACGATTTATAGATACAACTCTTACTAATTAACTCATAACTGGAGGGAAAGTGGTGGATTTATACCTTTCCCAAGGTTATTTGCCTCTAAGTTAATATAATGAACTCAAAGGGAATTGGAATTCGCCATCTTATTTCGACCATAAAGAAATATCGTTCATACGATAAAAGTTTAAGATTGTCGACAAAAAATGTTACAAAGTTGCCATATTAAATTAATACAGAAAATCCCCGTGTTACGACAGTCCTAACCTACGATGATTCGTGGTTACGATGTAATCTCCATTAATCTTGTTTCAGCTTATGTTGTTTGCCTCGTATATAAGGCGGCGTAGGTCATTTCCTTGTACGCCATATTAGATTATTGTGCATTCACTCTCTTTCATTTGTATTGTGTTTGTGGAAATTTATTTCCATTTATTATGGCTCTCATGCATAGCGAAACCTCTTTTGATGGCGGTGCTTTGAAGAAAAGGAAAGCCTTCACCATGGAAGTGAAATTAGACATTGTTAAATGCACTGAAAATGGAGAAACAGCGACGAATATTGGCCTGTTAGACAGTTGCTTGGCTTAAGCAGTTCGACTGTCGCTTAAAACTTGTATATGTGTATATAGTGAGTTTCCCCGTAAGGGATACGGACAGTTTCTTGTTGAACTATAAGTTGGCGAATTGCCGTTTAAAAAGAAAAACAAACTCACGTTTGTGTTTCTTTTTTTCCCAGATTATTTGCTGCTTCCGGGGGCGGGGGGGGGCAATGCTATCACTGGTAATAAATATAGAAACAGCTTCAAACAATTTCATTTCATTATATGCATTATTTTCATTTCATTCTATTTATGTCCTCCGTGTGTTTTAGTCCTAATTATGTTAACATGTCATAGAAATCTGTTGTTATATCTTAGATTATTACTTTACTATTACGTTAGCATAAGTATGCCACATAAGTGCTTACGCACGAAAAATGGCTGATACGTTTCGACTTACACATTAAATCGTGTTACAACGCATCACAGGAACGGAAATCTGTCGTAAGTCGAGGACTATCTAAAAATGTTTCCTTCTGATTTATTAGCTATATTTTTTAAACATTCAAGAGAATTATCATTAAGCCAACGTTATATCTATAATTGTTTTTCTCCTCCATGTAGTATTTAATAAATAAAGACATTAAACTCACTATTCACGCTAATGATTTTATACATATCAAATTCTGGCAGTCGGAATAGAAATGAAAAAAAATATAAGTTTGTATTTTAGTATCGATTTTATTTTAACCTCTTATATTTAGTCACAATTTTATCATTATTAACATTATTTTTGCACCTATCATATTGCCGTCACGCTAATGTTTAACTTTAGTGTTTTTTGCATTAACAAACTAAATCGCCCTGGGTATGACGATAAACTACATCCGGCAGCAAGGCCTCTGATCGGGAGATTGGAAGTTTTGAGGAGCGTGGAACCCCCTTTTAACTGATGTTGTTCCCAGGCCCAACCTGTCCCAGGATGATAGCACCTGTTAGGGTCCCAGCTATGGACAAATAGTGAACACCCAAATAAAATATCGATAGTACATTTTTATAATAAAATGAGCAAAAATACATATTTATAACAAAATGCGCAGAGCTTTTGATTGGGCCTTCATCACAATAGGTAGAGAAAATTAGATGCGATAAACAACAATAAACTATAGTAGAACTCAAAATTGATCGCTTCATTTAAGTATTGCATTAATATTTAAGCTTAACTTTTAAAAGTTCAACGATAATTCTTCTGACGCAACTTAATTTAAAAACATTTTGATGTACGTAGGTCTTTACTTTCCGTAAAAACAATTACTTTTATTTCATGAATGACTTTTGCTGGATTTCGCAATTAATTTCGATTATTCCCAAAAGTATTTCCAAGTTATAAAAATTGTTAACGTATAAAAATTTCGTCGCAAAAAAAAAAAATCACGAAAAAATCTCTTCAAACAATCGCAGTAATGAAAACTTGGGAATCCAGAATTTCAGGATTGCAGTACTGGATCCGACCCGGGATGTTTTTAATTTTCTCACGGAATCGGCCTGATTCCAAAATGGTATGATATGTTGCGCTACGACCTAAAGTAAAGTTGAAAAAGTCTGACACAGTGGCAATCGCATTTATTATATAGATGACAATCAATGCAACACTAAAAAAAATATATATAAAATACATTTCTATATTAAAATTAACAACAATACATTTTATGATTTACAAAATATATATCTAAAAAAACATACCTGAAAGTATAAAATTACGTACAAAATATTTTGATTTTTGCATTAAATAATACATAGAGGCAGATATGCCGAAGAACAAAATCAACCAACCAACAATACATATTTATAGTAAAATTACCAACAATATATATTTATAGTAAAATTACCAACAATATATATTTAAGGCAAAATGACCAACAATGCGTTTTATTTGTAGTTAAAGGCATACAGTTGTGTTAGAAATTTAGATTTAAGCACTAAATAACCTATAGAGGTTGATATACTAGTAAACAAAATCAATCAACTAAATATTCTGGTGGTGCGAAAAATTGTAATGAAATTTAATAGAACACCAAATTTTATCGAATTTAATCTAATTTTTTTTACTCTGAATCTGTATTGAAAATAAAAACGTGTATTGTCTATGAACAGGAATTAAAGCACACGTTACTGGCATAATATGACTATTGTATGTTTAATGTAAATGCATTAATAATGTTTTTATCACAGAAAAGCATTACAGATCATTTTAATATAAAGAAGTATTAGAAATGGGATTATTACAGAAATACACTGGAAATGATTTTAAAAAAAAAGGATATTGCTAACAGAATATAAATGTATTGTAAATGATTTTACCCTAAATTATATTGCAACTGTAAAAGAAAGGATATACTTGTATTATTTCGAACTATTCTCATTTTGGTTGATTATTACAGACACAACGTTTCGACCAACTATCCTCTGATTATCCCTATTGATTATAGTGATATTTTGTCTCTAGGTTGCCAATTATTGTTTGTTCCTGCTGAATTGGGACAGTGACGTAATAGATATAGGAGTTGATTATACATGCGTCATCATAATTGTGGTCATGAGTTCAATCCCTAGATCGGTTAATGAAGCACTGATCCAGCAGAATTGGCATCACAAAGAAAAATATCACAATAATCAACAGATATCCGTTATCAGCCAATTAATGGAAACCTGATAACCAGAGGCTACTTGGTCGAAATGTTGTGTTTATAATAACATCTATATCAACCCAGATGAGAACAATAACTTGAAATAATACAAAAATATTGACAATTATTCATCTTTTAAATAAAATACTTAAAAAAAAGAAAAGGATTTCCACTTGTCATGAATTAAAGCAAATATTACTGACAGATTAGGGAATATTAAAAATACACTGCAGATGGGTTTATTATAAAATTGCATCACGAATAAAAAAAACATATTTGTCAGCGGTCAGATGTGCAAATATTATTGACAGAAGAGATTTATTATATACGAAATACCGTTTATACTCACGTATCATGCGACATTTGAAGGTAATTTGACTACAGTGAATAGATATGCATTTTGGTCAACAGCGTAGTACATACGCTAATTTTATATCTCGTGTATGATGCTACCCCCTTAAAATTAGCTTCAAAATTAGGTCTTTGCATGATACGCAAGTATATACTGTATGTTATTTGAGAGAAATTACTGAAAAGCTTGGTAATTAAAATTAATTTTAGTTTTTCTAAAAACTATTTTGTTTACTGACTTTTAAAACTATTCCTAATTCTATTACAAATGCAACTTAAATGTAGTTGTGTTAAAAATCGATTTCAAGTAAATGAAGTCTGTTCTTTGATTTTATATGTTTTTTATGAATATTTTAAATATTTTGGATTATTTAGTGCATTTTTGTTTTTTGATCTTACTTCCGGTTAAAGGTCAGATGGGCTGTCGCCAACCAGTTTGGAGGAATTGCCGTATGGTCCCTTGATTTAGATGACTTCTCTGGTATTTGTCCGGGTAGACAAAAATATCCACTAATGAATACAATTCTACGCTCCTTGGATGTGCATGTCCCTGTTTAGTAAGTATTGCAATGCAAATAAAAACCTTTAGCTATATTAATCAATTGCTCTATATTTGAGATAATGTTATTTTCAGTGATTAGACAGGATTTACTCAGATTGTGTTAGAATCGATTGGTCTACATTCTGCTATGGAAAGCAAAGGTATGCAACGATGTTCGTCAGAGTTACGATGAAGATTACCTTTTTCAGATATGCGATTTTCATACTTGAAGAATGAGAGAGCAATGCCTCCGCTTGGAGTTAAATTCAGCGGGATTTTATCTGGTCCGTATTCTTTCTTTAGCTTTATTCTTGTTTCGATGAATTCCGGATATATTTCGATATATGCATTGAATATTACAGACACATCTGGTGTGGTGCTTCTGCTATATATTTAGAGCTTCTTTATAAAATACAAAGAAGAAGCTGCTATGTTATTGGTCTTGATATGGCATGTAGGCTTCAGTCACTTTCCCACCACTACAGCGTAACTTCCCAGTGCCTTTTCTATAAATATTTTCATGATAATTGTTCTGATGAGGTTTCCTATACGGTATCTTGACTTTATGAATTTAAGCGCGATACCTAAATAAGAATCACGATCTAATCATTTTACAATTAAAATGGCTAGATGCAACCGTAAGTTCTATGCTAACAGTTCCTTTTCTTGCACTTCCCGATTATGAATCTCTCCTCCAGTCAAATTTTGATCTTTAAAAATTTAAATGCAATGTCAATTATTGTCTTCTTAATCCTTATTTTTTTATTGTTTTCTCGCCTTAATTACGATTTACTCATATTCTCTTATGCTCACTAACCCTTTGCTTTATTGCGTTGCTTGGAATTAAATGATTTAAAAAATATGTGTGGAGCTGACATCTGAGATTGTGAAGGATGCTAGATACGTTTCAAAGAAATTATTTACCAACGGCGGAGTTCCTGTTTAATAGCGAGCTGAAATATCATTTCCGACACTCTAAGATATTCGAGCTGCCGATGAAATATGCTGGCATTGTCGACAGCGTTGGTATTCAAGAGTGAGTTGAGTCGTACAACTATTTGATTCCCGCGAAGGCGTTTCGTATATTTCGGACATCTTTGGGTTTCTTCCAGCTGCCATGCAAGTAGCAGCTGGAATAATCTCTGGATCTCTCTCATATGAAATTGACATTTACGCTTGAGCTCTTGAAAATGTATTTTGTGCACCTTGAATAGATGGGCTTCCCGTTTAGCACTGATGCGACTCGAGATTTCTCCATTCTTGTCATTAAACCTATCTTGATGTTTTTGCTGATTCAGTGAAGCCGTTTCGGGCTGTGATTCTACGTCTTTTCTACTGACGGGACCGTGGGTCAGCTGTACTTAGATGGTTTTCAGGGCTTACGGCCGTATCACGTTGAATCACCAGTCCCCATTCGATCACCTAAGTTAAGCAAAGCCAAGCCTGGTCAGTACTTAGACGAATGACCGCTGCAGAATACTAGATGCTGTAAGCTTGGATGTGCAGGTGGTTTAATGGATAACGGCTCGGAATTGGAAATTGGAGAGCCGAATTCGAACTCCAGTTGCATTCACTTATGTGAAAATAGTCTTGGGAAAAATATGACTCCACCGTTCCTCCTTCTAAGCTATGGGTTAAATAGTAGGACTTGTATCTGAAAATCATTATTATGTCCAAAAAGTTGTTAACACAATATTCACTCGCAAAAAGAAATTTAGTTCAATTGCAATGGTCTGTCAAGAATACACCCGTTACTCAAGAGTAATAACCCATCTAAAATGTACCAAATTCTGGCTTCTTACTTACAGCTACAAGTATAAGCCCGACAAATATTTACCTATAAATTCAAGTATAAATTCTACCATACCTTATCTATAGACTAGCAGCATGGTCCGGTGTTGCCCGTGCTTGATTCAAAAACCGTACGACTCATACAGCAATCGCTATCACTTAAAATATTTTTGCCCTTCCTTGCCTTTAAAGGAGTGCCCTTTACCGTGCTGATGTTGCTACATGCCTTAATTCTTGCCTATCTCACACTGCGAAGTTTTTCTAAGCTCTATACTAAACATTAAAACTGTTACAAAAAAAGAACTAAACAAAATGAACACAAAACGATCAGCTTTAAAAAAGGACTCGTAACTGGAAAAATCGAATGAAAAAAGAATGTTAACAACAAATACTTTTTCACACCCAACCCAATTCTGCGGAATCAGAATCAACATTGAGTTTAAGCAAGCGAATGAACCAATTGGAGTAAAGTGCCATGCAGATTTAAATTTTTCCCACTTGTGACGAATGCAGTTATCGATTTTTTTTTGCATGCTAGCATGCTAGTTAACATTCGTGTCAGTCAACTGTTGACTCTCACGCTGGTCAATAGAATCTTCCTGACTATTCGTGGCAGCCAGCTATTGGCTCTCACTCTGGCCAGTACAAAATGGCCACAACCTACATGAAAACTACCGTAGAAGCATGAAAAAATCGATTATTTCCACTATCGATGGGAGTTGGGAAATGCAAAGTCGGTCTTGGCCTTTCCACTAACTTAGAGCATGTGCTTGTAAATTTTGGTGCAAATCCGTCGAAAATTGCGGCCGTGCATTCGTTACACACACACACACACACATATCCTGCCTTTTATAGATAGAGATTAAAGTGAAAAATCGACAAATTTTACCTATAGAGTCACGAATCATCCACAGTAAATTTTCGTTCGATGTTCTAACAAAGTTTCGCTATTCTTGGCGAATCATCTATTATCACAGTGTGAGATATTCAATACCAAAAATGATGGAAACAAAAGGGAAAAAGAATCTAAACGAAATCAACTAGATTATATACCCATAACACATATATAAAAAAAATATTTGTAAATTTATAAATCCCAGCGCATGTGCAGTCCCATCAACATAAACAAACATAGTCCGATCAAGTCCTAAAGGATGAAACGTTTTAAACGAAAACTTTTTCCACATCGTCACACACACACACACATATATATATATATATATATATATATATATATATATATATATATATATATATATATATATGGCGATGTAAATATATATATATATATATATATATATATATATATATAATAGCTGGCCACTGTATTCGAGGATATCCGTCTATTAGAGTGGCTAGCCAATCCCTATTGCAGACGCTCGCTCAGGTATATTTGCGTTTGTTCAACACCCACAGAGCCACTCTGTGATTTATACTACATCTATGCTGAGCAGACCTTAGTTTCAGTTTCTGGGAGAGAGCGTGTTATCTAACGTGATCAACAATCCGAACAAGGCCAAACCTCGGTCATGATAACTTGTGTCTTAGTGCTAACACAGCTATCCAGGGACCCAAGGATTCCTTCTACCTAATTTCACCACAAGGCTTAGGTGAACCCGTAGTATGGTTTTCAGGCACTTTCCAAATGTGCCGCACGCTGGGATCGCCCCTTCCCTCCCGATAACATCAGGAAGTCTACTTCCTAATTAATCAACCGTGGTGGGATTCGAACCCGGGTTCATGGTCAGAAAGCGAAATACATGCATGCATATATATATATATATATATATATATATATATATATATATCCTACATCCATAATATGATTTCAGTAATGATGTCTTCTTCCCCACCTCACCTCCTAAGAGGTATCCAGTTATACATCCTCTCTCTTTCTTTCTCCAAATAAACAGTACACTACAAGCCTATACCAGAAACAGTTTGAAAAATCCTGCGAATTTTAAAATTAAAATTCGTAGGTGAAAATGGTCATTTACTAAATGTATCGTAATTCCAATTGCAAAGAAAATTTGCTCTGTGTATTGTAAATAATCATAGAGCGCTCTTTTGTGAGTCAGTTTTAACATATTTCAAATTCTATGTTGTGTTAATAGGACTCTCCTGGATTATACCAACATATCACTACATATATATATTTTTTTTTTTAAGCATTTCACCCCAAGCAAGGCGGGAAGCCACTAGGACGCAAGGGGTCACAGAAAAATTTAGAGCAAGATCAGATAGGAGTGACAGAAGAAAGGATGAGGGTAGTGGCAACTGGGGATGTCGATTGACATTACACTTGAATAGCTGAAGATTATAACTCACAGGGAAACAGGAGAAGGGAAGGGAGTTCCACAGACGAGAGGTGCGAGACATGAAGCTATTAGAGTTGAAGAGACGGCTACATTTAGGAGTTTCGACAGTGAAGGGGTGAGAGCGGGATGCCAGCCTCGTAAGGCGCTGGAACTCATGACGTCTGGGAACCAGCGAATGCAGCTCCTCGGAGCAATTTCCATGAAAGTATTTGTAGAACAGACAGAGGGAGGCGACGGCGCATCTGTGAGAAAGTGACTGTAGACGAGACGCCAGGGCAGGGCCAACCACATTGCATATCCGCCTCTGGAGCCTATCAAGAACCCCTAGGCAAACAGAAGGGGCACCAGACCATATATGGGAGCAATATGTGTGTGTGTGTGTGTGTGTGTGTGTGTGTTATAAGACACTGAATTAAATGTTTTCTATTATATTTAATTTATTTTTTTTATTTTTTACATTTTATTTTGAAGCACTCCTCCTATACGTAAGGATCTACCTCAGCTTCCGATGTCCACTACTGTTCCGGCGTCTCACCGGTCATCACAGCAGGACTCACAATCAAAACCTCAACTAAAAGCAGCAGGTTCGATATTTCCCCGTCTTGCTCTGATTGAAGTAACATTTACGTATCTTTATTAACAAAACCTCATAGTTATAATCTGGAGCTGCCAACATAATATCTAATTAAGTAGAATGTTAGCAAAACAAACAGCCCAACATGCAAATTACAAAAATCAAAAAAGAGCAACGATTTAAAGATCTGGGAAGTGTTTTAACAGCGAACGGAAGGTGCGACGCTGAAATCCGAAGGTGAATCGGGGTAGCCAACGATGTTTTCAAAAAGCTAAACAAAGTATTAAGAAACGGAAAAAATTTCGTTTGAAACAAAGAGAGCAATGAATTGTTATGTGGTGTCAGTCCTTCTATATGGCCAGTGAATGCTCGACTATCTCCTCACAGATGAAGAGACTTGAAATAGCAGAAATGTAGTTCTACAGAAGGATACTGAGAATACCATAGACAAAACATGTGAGCAACGTTGAAGTTTTAGAGAAAATGGAAATACAAAGAACACTTTCTCAGGAAGAGACAGTTGAAAATTTTAAGATCACATAATGAGGAAAGGGGGCTTGGAAAATTTGATACTCACAGGAGATATATTGAAGTCAAGACGAACAAAGGAAAACAACTCATAACCTATCTAGCGAGCTTTTGTAAATGGGATGGCGAAACAAGGTTTAAAAGAGATAACAAAAAGCAAAATTTATTAAGACCGACAGGAAATTGTGGAGAGCCATGATCGCCAACGTCTCGAAGGGAGATGACACATAGAAGAAGAATTGGATCTTCTGAACGCAGTATATGTGCCACTTCTTTTAATCGCCTTACCTCTTCTGTCTCGCCTTGTGAATTACTATTTGTTTCACAGGAATAAATTTACTATCTTTATACTTCATACATGTTCAGCCAATACTGATTTTATAGTTTCCATAGAGTCTTACGAATTCTCGCTCTTCAGCCTTATTTTTAGGAAGTAATTGCTTTCCGTGGTGTTCAGTATTCCATTCAGGACATTGAATGCAGTGCACCACACGTTTGTTTATAGTTCCAGTTTAGAGTATCACTGAAGATGACAGACAGCTTCTCCTTCTTATCGAGTCGCTACACTACACCCATCCAATTTTGCACACAGAATCTTGCCTGGAGTGTTAAGGTTCCAAGGTCGTTAAGTGTGCATTAATCTTCAAGATTGGGGCAAACAAGAAATAGTTTGTGGTTGCCTGCATTGGCAGTTAGGATCAACATCGGTGGTATATCCCCATTTCTGAAGGTTGGCTCTACAGCGACCAACAGCTATTCGGGGGAGATTTTAGCGGGAAGAGAAGGACCTGGCATCATTGGAGTCAGGGTGAAGGATTCTGTAGAGCCTGTGTTCTACGCTGTTAAGGTGGCTGCACCACAGGGACAGACACTGATTAGGATTGATGTTGTTCAGTGGTGCGGACGTGTAAAAAGTTATGTCTTGACTTGAGCCTCTTTGTTATTGGTTTACAGCCGTGGAATGGATGACAAGGGTCAATTTCCTGGTTCAACTTCTCAAGTTTGGAGTGGATTGTGCTTATGTAAGGGGGAGCAATGCCACAAAGCAAGTAGAGGTCATCTACGTTGGTTGGCTTGAGACACCCAGTGATCGATGTGCAAGAGGGACAGACAGCTGAAAAAGCTCTATGAATACAGTGGCCGATATGTTTTGAGAAAAACAAGCAAGATGAGTATATCTGTCCGAAAAAGAAATCCTGGAAAAAAAAATACTCGTTTCAACAAGAAAATAACGGCATATGGCATTAAAATGCATCGATATGTTCTTGTTTAATACGGCCTTTGATTAGCTTTTTTGGTTTATGAAACACATTGTAATTATTTTTTTATTTGAATTGCTGAAAAGGTTCTCTCAGACGATTAATAGAAAGCGGTTACGTTGGCGGGGGGTAAAATTAACTAGCTAAACCTTACCCCAGTTAGCAACAGAATGCGATTTTTAAATCAGTTGCCAATTTGACCTTGTTGAACTGATCATACTTACCTTTAAGGCAAGAGTAAATAATTGTGTCATTAGTACAGATACCGAGTTGAGAACTGATGCCATCAGGAAGGTCATTTATGAAAACGTAGGTCTAAGAATAAAATACTGAGGGATGCCTGGATTAATGCAAAATGAACTAGAAGAGTGGCCGTTCAAGATAACTTTCATCACATGATACGATATGAAAAACTGAATCAGTTAAAAAATTCGTCCAGAAATACTATAACCTTTCAAATTGTGAAGAAGACCAGTATGAACTTGTGAAGACAACCCTGTCAAATGTTATGGAAATATCCAAAGCAACAGCCCTATTCTTGTCTAAAAATCTGATAGACTGTTTAAGAAATAAGCTTTAATACATCAGCATAAATTTGATATGTTCTTGTTCAATAAGGCCTTTCATTAGCTTTTTTGGTTTATGAAATACATTGTAATTAATTTTATTTGAATTGCTGTATCTTTCTGCTGTAATTATTACATATTGCTTTATTCGGACCAATTTCCTCGTTTTTGTTGTATTTATCACAAGGTTTCGGCTTTGTATTTTTTTGCCATTTGTTGACTTACGTCCACATCAGTTTATTTCTTCCTTAATTTCCACTAAACAATAGCCAAGTGGATTTAAACGTTGGTTTTCTGAATTTTGTGTTATGGTAACTGTCAGTTCAACCCAAGGTAGTACAGACTTTGACACATTGGAAAAAGAGCAAGTAATAACCGATCAGTAAAAAAAAAAAAAAAAACGATATGTCCCTAGTTATGGAGATCAGGGTTAGCGGAACAATCTACCCCTGTATATTAAATAAAGTGTTCAGTTCGAAATACCCTGAAGGCTACCAGAATCGACAGGCAACTGAAGAAGGCCGAGGGTGTGGTTAACAACGACAGAACGTTATGATAACAAGAAACATTAGTCGGAATGTAAATAAATACTAACCTCGTGCTTGGTATATAAAACTAGGTCAAAATAATTTATATATTTATGAAAATTATCTCACACTCTTTTTAGTGGAATCTACGTTATGCAATTTGGAGAACAGGATGTTTATTGTTTGCTATATCCGTTAACTGAACCAGAACTTCCCAAAAATGTGTCAGTCGTTTAGCCATTGTTCTGAACGCGTGACAGGTGCGTTGGAAATGGTACATATTATAAGTACAGTGGTGTTGTTCAATAGGCAAAGTGACCAGAAATAATCTTTTTTTTCTGTTGCTATAGATTAAACGCATAAGATCGTGAATATAAAAAATTGTTCATTTTCTAAAAGTTAATAGGGGGTCCAGTTAGCTATTCATTGGAATACCAAGCGCTGTAAACTGAGATGTGCGTGTGGTGTAATGGATAATGACTCATGATTGTTAATCGGAGAACCGAGTTCTAATTCCAGTTGGGTTCGTTATATTCACTCACGCGCAAATAACCTTGGGAAAGGTATGAAGTTTAAAAAATATATCTTATTTTAGATATTCTAATAATATTTAATCAAAAAGCACTTTAATTTTCTATTATTTTTTTCATTTTAATAAATCATGTGGTATCAGCAAATTTTGTTTTGGCTTCCGTAGCGGGGATTAATTTATAGCCAATTTTGTCAGATTTGTGCATGAGAATCGTTCATTTATTAATTTTCCTTAGACCCAAATACCTGTTGATGTCAATAGTATTCCGGATAATTGCACACCGGTGTTCTCTATCGCTAATATAAAACTATTTTCATGTGTTATGGTGAAACACACCTATTCTATAGTTGATAGACTCTCCCACCTAATATAAGTAGGAGTAGTAAGAGAAACGAAGGTCAGTCGATGTCGGACGACCGCCTGAACGGTTGAACTCTCTGCCTTCGGGCAGGAAGGAACCCGAACGAGGCTATGCCGAAGGGCGGAGTCTCGTTCGGGCAGGTAAACCGACCCTGAACCCGTTTATACGGGTTCAAAGGGTATATTTTTGGCTGAGCCCATGGGCTCGGAGATCCCACGTTAAACCGGCCTTGTGCCACATGATACCCTCGTGGGGGTGACTAAATACTAGTCGATGTCGGACGACCGGCTGAACGGTTGAACTCTCTGCCTTCGGGCGGGGAGGAACCCGAACGAAGCTACGCCGAAGGGCGAAGTCTCGTTCGGGGAGGTAAACCGACCCTGAACCCGTTTATACGGGTTCAAAGGGTATATTTGGGGGCCGAGCCCACGTTAAACCGGCCTTGTGCCACATGATACCCTCGTGGCGGGAGTGACTAAATACTAGTCGATGTCGGACGACAGTAGTCGACAGTTAGTCGAATACGAAAGTAGTCAGCGACTACAACAAGATTACTCTGCGTAATACCTATTATATCAAGTTCCTAACGTTTTGTACGTCGAACTATTTACGACCGATTTAGTACAAATACAAGCCTCCACTGCGAAATAACTCCACAACATCATGTTAAACCAAACGATCATGTTCATGAAATCGGTCCTGACCTGGCATCTCGGCTTCAGTCACTTTCCCACCGCCGTGGCGTGGCTTCCCTCTGTCTTTTCTAAAAATATTTTCATGGCAATTGTTGTAATGAGCTGTCTTCCTTAGTACCTCGACCGCATTAATTAAAACGTGCGACTAGATTAGCAACTCGGTCTCACTGTTTAACTGTTGATCTAGTCAGATGAATCCATAAGTTCTATTGTAATAGCGCATTTTTTTCGCACTTCTCACACGTGGAACTCTCTTGCGCTTTCTTGCTTCTCTGTCACCACCAATCTTCAAAGATTTAAATGCAACATGAATCGCACTCGTCTGTTTTTTTCCTGTTCTTTTATTGTTCTTTCGTTTCATTCTCTTTCACTCCCAGTGCCCATCATAGTGGCATTATTGCCTTACATGAAGTGAAATGATTTAAAAAAAATAAATATATTTTTTGTCTATTTCAGAGATTTGCGGTCAAGACATGACAGGCTACGTGGCCGATCCGCATTCGTGCCAGTATTTCTACATTTGTAATCAGGTCCATGTCTTCAGGTACCGATGTCACGCTCAGACATTATGGGATGACGTGAAGAAGAAATGTGAATGGAAATGGAAGGTCCAGTGCAAAAGCAGTCAGCCGTCCCAGAAGTCATTGGCACCCGGCAGAGATGCTTTCATTTCACCCAGAACAGGACAAGTCGCTCTGTCCACACACTCTACAGGTGAGAATCGGGATACTCCTGGAGTAATGGGGAAATTATAGTGAGAAAAAGGCAGTTTGTTAAAAAGAAAAAGATTCCTTTGATCTACCACGTAAATGAAAAACAATTATAACGATGACTCTGTAGACTATTGAAATCTTTATTTTACATATCTTCTTTTATGTGACGCGTCCATTCATCACGTGGGCAATCATGGTTCTCCACAGCTTCCTGTTCTGTGTAGCGCCTAATAATGTCTGTTTTTTGCTATCTCTCCCATTCCCTGTTCTGTCAACCATTTACGCAAGCTCGTTTGGTATGTTTGCTAAATAATAGTTTAACAGATTATTATTTTTTAGAGGAAGTGTATCGCTGCTCCAACTTCCTGAGGTTGACCTTCGAGGTCAGATACAAGCCAAAATATGGGAAGTCGATTTTGACTAGCTGAGCCTGTGTTGGAATAATAGATATAGATAAATGTTTTTTCAGTGAGTCGAGTCTTAACCGTCAAACAATGTAGACGTGTTTTCTTTCGTGTCTGACACGGCTCCCCTGTGAGGAGGAACAACTCCCACTGAATAGATAGAACATTTCGACATTAATAAAGTAATTAAGTTAAAATTCCCTGTGTGGACGTTCTTTTATCTCTAGACTGAAAACAACTAGCGATCACCGGTCGCGAGAGAAGAATGCAACTTTATTATCGAATTGACGCCGTCACCCAAGACCTCCAAGCGTAAGGAGGATATACAACATGTTATTCGCTGCTTTCCTACGTCCCTCTTGCATTCAATATATCCTGCGAGTGTTAAATTTTCAAGGCCCACTTTCCTTGTTATGTACCATAAAAATTTCAAATATCTCTTTCTGATTCTAAGTGTAAATGTTCTTTTTGTTTCTATTTTCCTTAAAACTTAATTATTGCTCACATGTTCAGTCCATAGCATCGTCAGCATTTCTGTTGCCTCAAGTCTCTTTATTTGTGAAGAGATTGTCCGACATTCACTACTATATAGGATGACTCATATTACATAACACTCTAGTACTCTTTTCTATGTTTCTAGCGAAATTCTCCAATTTTTTAATACCATACTTAACTTTTGAAAGGCATCTTTCACTATTCCAATGCAACTTCGGATTTCGATGTCACAATCCCTTTTTAATACACGTTTCGTTAAACAAGACTGACAATTTCCTTTAGTTTTTTATTATGGTTTACTTTTAGATAAACTATTAGCCATTTTCAAGGATTTTTGTTATGCTACTTTACAATCTAAATACTACTAAAACCTAAAAATATTTTCTGGTTTTAAATAACCTGCAGAAGTTTGATATACCGTAAAAAATTTAAAAAAAACGAAATTTTCCTGTTTCTTAATACTTTGTTTAGCATTTGAAATGCACGTTCTCGTTTTCTGTTAAAACACTTCCCAGATAATTAAATTTCCGTACTTGATTGAGTCTGATATTTTCAATACATAGATGGGATATTTCAGTCATGGTAATGAACATAAATATATAATTTTAAAAAATACAATGATCAATTCATTGCTTCACTTGTTATTTTGCTGTTTGTTTCGATGCATAATGAAAAGTGTATTTCTTTTAACCCAGAAAAAACTCATAGAGCAATATGGAAAAAGTAATGAAAAGGTTCTTCGTTAATATTCTGTAGGTAATAGTTCCAGCTACTGTACCAATCGGAATGATGGCACGTACAAAGATCCCAGTGGTTGTAATGGTTTTTTGCAGTGCAGTGGAGGCCTGACTTATCCCCACCTCTGTCCATCTGGCACTGTTTTTGATGAAGTTCACAAATACTGCGATTTCAGACAAAACGTACCCGGATGTTGACTGCGTAAGAAATGGATGAAGCCTTTAGCGACATGCTTACAAAAGCAGACGACACTCTCTGAACATAAATGACGACGTGAAACTGAAAGCTGAAAGACGCTTGGCAACTGCTACGGGATGTATACATAGATATACGCGGACGTGTATGTTTTCTTATCTGTTTGGGAGAGTGTGTGTCTAAAATTACGCATGATCACGCAATTGTATAAGTTATATATTAAGTTAAGTCATAAATAGTTTCCGTTTGTGTTTGTCAGCTTTATTCCTCAAAACATAAAGTACAATTACATTATGTTTGTTTGTACGGGGTGTTTAAAAAATTGATATCATTTGAGATGTAAATATCTGAGTAACTACACAGTCTCGGTAAATGAAACTTAACAGGCTTATTGTCGAGCAAAATAAGATTTATTCATCAAAATGTGTATGAGTAATACAAAGGTACGTGGATTTCAAGAACTATTTCGCACGTTTCCAATATGCGCATTGTTCGACCATCTCTTCCAATACTGGTGGCCGTCCAGATATTTTGCCCTGCACAAACAGCCTTCCATTTTGAAATTTTTGTGCTCTGTCCAAATCTGCATTGCAGATTTTCTCACAAATACAAGCGAGATAGTCTTCTTCGACTGTTTTCGAGTATACTCCAACACACAAAACATTTCTTTTACAGAGAATGACATCTCTATACTTGAAAAGAAAATATAAAACATTAAACAGAATTTTGAGTTGTTTCTGCACATACTGCAAAAATTCGAGATCATTTGAACGAGAATTGATGAAGTTATCAAATTACGAAATGACATGAATTTTTTCTGAAAGACCCTGTATATTCATCATTATTTGCAATGATTTACTGCTACTTACAAGCAGATCTTCGATACCTTTTTGAGTCAAATCCCGCAGGATTTGATATGAAAATGTTTTTGGCGAACTGTTATCGTTGGTTTTCATTAAAGAAAGTTTTTTTTGACTCCATCAAAGCGTTTTGAAGCGATCGAAAAAAAAGGGTAACAATCGGTTGGTGCAAGATCAGGTGTATATTGCTAGTGGAGTTGAACAAACCCATCAAATTCTAAAATTGTTTATCCTGCGTTCTTCTTGTTCTATGGATGTTAAAAGTTGGGCGCTTTTCGAAAAAAAAAAAAGCTTTTACGGCCACGTTGCAGCTACCGAACGTATAAACGTGTATTTCATGTTTCATTACGTTTTAAGAACCCAAAACGTACCCAAACGATCCCATCGCAGGCACAACATTAATTTTCTTCCATGGAGCTCTTATTTTCGTATCGGTTGTGGAGATTTATCTTTGTCAGTCCACTGCCTTTTACACTGAACATTGTTGTATGCAACCCACTTTTCATCACCTGATTATATATTTAAGGAACGGTTAGTTAGGATCATACATTTGTCATTACAATTGGTTCCTCAAAACGGCAATTACTTATGACTCAAACTAACATATATATGTGTGTGTGTGTGTGTGCGCGCGCGCTTGTGTGTGTATGCGAGGACAATTACAAAGATATTGTACAAAGATGTCAATGTATGTCTTTTTTGTTTGTATTTTATGGATGCTCATTTATTAAATATTGGAAGCAGAAATGCTATTTAAATTGCTCGTTGTTCTGTCGTTTTCTATTTGTGCATTTGATTTTGAAATCGATATCTCATGATTACAAAAAAAAATATTTATAACGGTGTTTGGAGTGCTTCGACAAATTTTCAACAATTTTGGAGTGCTGAATCCAAAAATAACATCCATTTTCCACCACCAGCTACATATTCCTGCTAAAGAATAATATATCCTGCGTAAAATGGTCATGATTGGGTTAGGTTATAAGCCAGTATGAAAGAGTTGTTTTTTTTTTATCTTTTGTGGTGTGTCAATTTCATCGTTGTTCAAATATCGCGTCTCCACGGATCATGTCAGTTTTTTAAAGTATCGCATCTTCACTTGATAAAACATCGCTGTCGCTTTTTTTTTTTTTTTTGGTGGGGGGGTAATAAAATATATTTCGTAGGTTTCTTCCTAAATTTGATAACATTTTATTGGTGTTGTGTTATTACCTTTTCATACTTAATTCTTTTATGACATCCTAGGGGAACTATGGATCCTACCAGGATTTACAACAGAAGTTTTCAAGCGTCGATTCGTGTTGCTGTCTTTTTTTTTTTCTAATTAAACATGTGTAGTATGTTTGTTTCTAAATTTGATAACATTCTGTCGATGTTGGGTTGTTTGGTTTATGGTTAATGCTTCTAGCATTCGTAGTCGTTTTTTTTGTTTTGTTTTTTGGGTTTTTTTTTGGAGTGGGGTGCCGTTCATGTGATATAGTATTTTTTGACGCGAAACGCGATACCATAAAGACCGGCATAAAATGTAATATTTGAAAAATAATGAAACTGACATAGGTAAAACACACACACACACACACACACGCATATATATATATATATATATATATATATATATATATATATACAGAAATATAGTTTTAAAGTGTGCTATATTTATGGGATAAAGTGCTCAATATCAGAGATAGAGCGTATGTAAATATAAATATAAAGTGAACATTGAAATCAACACTTAGTGGCGACAGTTTATTTCATGCTAGACACAATCGTCAGGCCTGACGATTGCGTCTAGCATGAAACAGCCTGTCGCAACTGAGTGTTGACTTCAGTATATATATTTATATATGATAAATATATATCATATGCGTAAAAGATGACTATATATAGTGGGGCGAGGGATGAATTGCCGTAGGAATTACACAAAAAATAAAAGTAACACTAACATCTCATTTTAACAGATTTATTTCAATAAAACTACACAAAAATAGCTTGAAATACTAAAGAGTAAATTTAGTCAATAAAATCACTATTGGCCTCAACCACGGCCTCCAGACAACTTTGGAATCTCCTGCAACTCTTCTGGACGGCCTCTTTGTTTAAGTTGGCTTCAATTCATCTTTGGTATTACAAGGAGTTTTGCTGGTTTTCGCTCAACTGCGCCCCACACATAATAATCAAGAGGGTTGCAGTCTGGGGAGTTAGCTGTCCAGATGTAAAGGATAATATAGGCGCAGAATTTGTCTGACAGTCATGACTGCTTTCTTCTGCTTGTATGGCATAGTGCAGAGTTCTATTACCAGACATAGGGTATTACAGCAGCCACCCTCATGACCCAGGCCAGCACTAACTCCTCAAGACACTTGATGTAGGTCTCCGTGTTGAATCTGAGACTCTAAAAACAAATTCAGGAGTTCTTTTCTTATCAGAACGATCAGAGTGAATTTTCTGAGCTGCCGTACATTCGTAATCAACATTAGCCTCATCCAACTTTTACCGAATCCTCTGCACTGTCCTCAGATTGACACCCAAACACTCTGAAATGTTCGTGTTGGAATTCCGACACCAATGCCAAACAGTATAGCATGCCTTTCCTAAATTTCTGGCGCAGTTAATTGCCTCATGGTGCTCTTTTTCTCACAGACTGCGCCCAAACTGACCCTACTATACTGTTCAGTCGACAAAATCAAAAACAAACAACGCGCATGCGCGAAATTAAAAATATAAAATGGCCACAATTTACCCATCGCACTCTTAGTCTATCAGCTTGGAATTAAAAATGAAGTAAAAGCTTCAAGAAAGGTTTTTCATTTTTAAAAATTCATTTTAAACCTTAGGTATCGCGTTTCTTTGAAGATACCTACAACTTTTCCTATTGAGTATTGAGTATGCTGCTTTAATGCTACCAACGCTGTCTCTTTCTGTCATTTTTCAACTTTGCCCACTTGTGTAATTGGTCAGGTATATTTTGCTTTTTAAACATCTTCAATTTCAGTCGACACGTACACATTATTTATTTATATTCAACAAGCTTTCTATCTCTTATTTACAAATTCACAAGGCATTGTTATTCATTAACGTGAGCTTTTAGTTCCCCTTTGCATGCCTCCCACGTTGTCACTGTCTTTTTCAACTTTACCGTCTTGTCTAATTCGTCAAGGCATATTTTGCTTTTATAACGTCTCCGATTTCAGTCGGCACGTACAAATTGTTCATTTATATTCAACAAGTTCTTCATTTGTAGTTCATTATTATTCATTAACGTGAGCATTCGTTTTTCTTTCATCGTTTTTTTTTTTTTTCTCATTTCGTTTTTCTCAGTTAATGTTTTCATTTATTGGTTATTCTTTTCATTATCTGAATGAGTTTTATACAAACCATTTTTGAAACAATATTCTATGTTTTTACTTCAAATAAAAAGGAACCTTAAGGAATGTTTGTTTGTTTTACCCTTGCTCATTACTTGCGTTTGTCTTTAGTACCTATATCATGCCCCGTTGGAAGCTCATTAAAATAAGTTGCCTTTGTCTTCATCCATCGGTATTCGTGTCCAGGTAAGAATAAAGATTTCGTTCGAATACTAATTTTAAAGAAAGATAAAGGCGTTAACATTTGGAAGGTTGGTACAAATAAAAACTTCCTATAACTTATTTCACGTATCTTGATTTATAGTTTCAACAGAAGCCTTAACATTATCTCCATATTAAAAGTATCACGGAGAATAAAACTTTTTTTTTTTATCCGCAGAGGAAAATGTATCAGAAAATGCCAAAAATGAAAACTCGTAGTCGGTGAGAGATAACTTAAGAGTCGGTGTCATAATAAAAACCGTCAAATACGAGTTACTTGGTAATCAATGTGTTAATTGTTAGAAATATGAAGGAATGTTTACTCACATGGCAAATATAAGCTGCTTTAAATTCAGATTAATGAATTATGCATACCTCTTATGTGTTTTTTCTTCGAGTAAACTGCTTCAGCAATATGTTAATGATATATATATATATATATATATATATATATAAATGAAAGTACATATCTTACACCGTTTGCACTACTCAGAGTTTCATATACATTCAGTATCTGCAGATTGCATTTGGCATGAAACACCGAGTAGTGCAAACGGTGTGAGATATGTATATTAT